CTAGTTTTCTTAACCGCCTTATTTGCATTCCCGGAACCTGTGTATCAAGACATAATATGCAAATAGCCCGTCCCTGTGTCTCTCTCTATCGCTTAAGTCTCGAATAGAGAATCCATCTTCGTAGAACCGAGCCTGGTGGCCCATCCGGCGCCTCCTTTCTTCTTATTATCGCTATTTATTATAATTTTCACTCTCCGTTTCCATTAATCTCTTCCGCTTTCTCTATTGTGCCGAGTAATCCGACGTGAATCCTACGAGATTACGTTATTGTTCGGCCTAAGTATACGTGATTCAGAGTGAACGTTAATTTTCATTGTCGTCGAATCAACGGAGGATAATGATCCGTGAAATTTTTTCTATTTGCGAACCAAGCAAATTTCGAGACGCAGACTTTCGTGATACGCTCAAGTATCGTGAAAGTTAATAGAAGATCAAATCAATGTAGATTATCTTTCGTAGAATATATTAACAACGTAGGGACAGGGTAAATGAGAACAAAACAAATGCAAGGATCTTAGAAGAAATACGAGAATGATTGGAAAAGAAGTTTTTGATTCAACCCAGACGCTATTCAGAAACTGCAGAAGAATTTTTAGACGCCGGAGTAGCGCTAAAACCATTAAGTTTAATAATAAAAAGAAATGAAATGTGAATATTGCGAGGTAACAGAATACATTTAAACAATGTGAAATATTCGAAAAGAACGTTCTTAAATCTCCAAATTACGCTAAAAATTGTAAAAAAAAGCAAAAATAAAGCCTATGATATCTTACGCTTTAATCTAAAAATAAATTAAAATCAAAACGCAAGAAGAACAAAAATTTACCAACTTACTAAATTGCTAAAGAAGGAAAGAACAAAATAAATTTCCTAGAAAATAAAGAAATATTAAACGTTCTTCAGACATAATTTTAAAAAGCCAACCCTTTAGATTTTCCATGCTGAAAAGAAAACCTTTGATTCTCCCTATTCCCTGTCCATAATCATCCAAGAATACCATACATCGGGTTCCCCCATCATCAAACACTGAGCAAATTACCGCACGCTATAGCGCATCAGTGATTCATCATCCACCGTTTAGAGGCGAATTTCACGGAGGGTAAGCAAGCAGCTTTCGAAAGATGCGGCCGGTCCTCGATTATCGCAAAAGTGCATCTGGCGAGCGTATCCGAGCGCCTCGGACTATCATCCGACTATCTCGGCTGTTTGTTTCGCGTTTCCATCGAGCTGCAGCGCGAGATCTCACTTAGAATGTCCTCCTCCCTCTTTGTCCTCCCTTCTTCATCTCGATTTCCACGACATCGAACAGCATCGAGAACTTAACCTCGAGTTGAGAATTCAATAAAACTAGTCGTCGCATCGATTGTCGGATAATCGGTTTAAACGGTGACGAGGGTGGACGCGTTGGAGAGAGATGGGGATGAAAGAGATATGGAAGAATCAACCCCTTCTGGTTTAAGATCTACGATAGGTGTATCTCGATATAGATTTTTCAAGTTCACGCTTTGTTTCTTTCGGGTGATTCTTTTTCGATATTTAATCTACGGATGAAGAGCCAACTTGTTATTTATTGATATTTATCTTGATTGATATTTGTATAAACATATTATATGTACATAGGCGATCTTTCGTTTCTTTTGAGAAGAAATTTTCAATCTGAATTTAAATTTCGTTAAGGTAGTTTTAAACGTAGAGCAGCTTCGGAAAGTACGTAAGCGGCTGGGAAAATCACGAGGAAATATATTAGGTTGTCCGAGAAATTTCATAAGGTGATAATAGATGGAGAACAATTTCTGTTTTATATTATTGAATTAGGTATGATCCATTTCGTTCTACTACTATTATTATATTCGTGCATAATTCGATAAACTAATATAAAACAAAACACATTGTGCGTCTATTATTTCCTTATAAAACGAAAAAAACTTTTCCGACAACCTAATATAAAACAGATTGTAACAGATCCTAAAATAATTATACGAAAGTATAGGAGACTTCATAAGGAATACTTAGAACGCGAAATAAATCGAAAAGAAGAAACGTGAAATACAACAGACCTTAAAGAAGCAAAAATCACAGAAAAAGTTTGAAGAACGTTCGAAAATTCTACATTACCCTGTAAGTATCTAGCCGTTAAAATTTGTTGAAAGAAATCGAAGAAAATTTCGAAAACATATAAAAATCTAAAAGAAGGAGAACTTTCTATAAATCCTAAAAAGAAATCTCGAAAGAATAAGAGCTTAACCAGCTAATTTTTCACCTACGATATCCACAATATTCTACAACATTTATATAAAACCTACAATATCTACGAGATCCATCTTCCACGATCTGTGTTTACTTTACAATGGAACAAAGTCTAAATCGTATTATCGATATAATGTATCGCTGCTAGAGACAAAGCCTGACGATTCCATAGGACGAGAATTCGCGATTAAATCTGATCCAAACTGTAGAGATCAGCGCTACATTCGTTGGAAAGAAGTGTCATTGCGTACGGGATTTATTTGTTCGCCTAGCTGCACGTTGATACGTTAATCGCCTCATTTGCCTTTTAAGCGTGTTTTTTTAAACGCGCTAAGGACAGGTGAGTCAGCGTCGCGCTCTCGGAAAATTTATTAAGACTTTTAAGGTAAAGCGACTTAAAAATAGACGTCAATAACGATCTTGCTAAGGATACAGAATGTTTCCAGCATAAATCGCTATTAAATTCGGAGTTATGTATGTTCGATATCTTCTTGAAATATGTCGTTGTTATTTATCGTCGTATTATTTGTCTCAATATTGCTTTTTTGTACTCTCGTTTGTTATCTGAGATAATTGTATTAATTGTGTAACAGGTATTACAATCTTCAAATATAGATCATCGATTACTCGAGGATATTTTATCGAATTTCCATTTTATCGCTTAATATTTCTCTTGCAACTAGACACACATTTCGTGGAAAATATTTCAGAATAAAAAATTCGATAGCTAATAAGAAAATGATATAGAAGAAAGACAGCAAACACGATTGATATTCGTTTTAATAACGATGTACGCTGATATTTCACGTTCTTGATAAAATCGTTGTTGACACATATTTTTACGATTTATATTTAAAAATAAATGACGATAATTTACGAAGAAAAGGATTATTAATATGGAACGAAAAATTCGGATTACGACAATTATGTAATTCGAGGCTACTTAAAATCAGAGTTTGCGTTTATTATTAAGAAAAAATTATCTGGATGTTAGAACAAGCAACACCTAATTGGTTGTTTGACGATCAATCACGCGTAACCGCGAAGGCAAACATTTGCCGCGCTAAATCAATAAAAACGTTGTTCGACTGAGACACCTTCGCGGTAGCGTGTCTTTTTTCATTAGATCAACTCTGAAATAGTATCCTTAGATTATAGATCGATATAATAATTTATGTTAGTTTAGTCAAATGTAGAGTATTTTATATTAATATAAATCATTGTGCTTCTTAATTAGTTAGTATTAACAGAAAATAATTTTATTTTGTATTCTACGCGATAGGGATTTCTGATAGAAAGAAATTAAATTATTAAGAATTCCAAAATTAAGTAATCCAGCCCCAAATTATTATAATCTCCAATGGCCTGATAATACCAGTTCAGACGTTAGGAGCTACAACGTTGCGTGTATTTAAAGTACAATCATCGAGAAGCCTATCGTCTATCTCTTTTCGCGGCTTCCGAGATAATACAAAAAATCGCTGACCTGTCCCTGCCACACACTGTTCGATCCATCAAAATTTTGATAATCCATACAAATATACGTTCAACGTACACGAATACTATTCTACACTTCTTTATTCAAACGCCAATATACGCAACTATATTACATGCATTCACATTGTATAATAAGCTATGATCGCATTATTCGTCATGATATCATCACATTGAACTATGTATGTATACACAGTGTATACTGTAGGAATTATTATATTTTGTATATGTAATCTTAGTAAGTAAGTAGTATATTTTGTACTGTAATCTTAGTAATCAGTCAAGGTTTCTAATGATTTAAAGAAATAGCTAAAAGAAAATCAAAACAAATAATAACAGAAAATTTAATTAGGTCGAGAATGGTCGTAACAAAATGAAACACGTAGCAAGGTTAAATATTAATGGATTAAGGAACACCACTTAGTTAGCTTCAAAGATACAAAAGGAATTTTGTTGCATGTTTTTTTATACTTCATATGCGTAGAATATTGTTCGAATGAGAATATTTTGAGATTCATATAAGTGACAAAGTTACAGTGCTTACAAGAGCTACGTGTTAGGTTAGGTAAATTGTTACATTAAACTAGTTTTAAATGCAATCTTTTTGAAATCATGCTTTCTATCCTAACACGCAACAGATATTCGGAACGATTTATTTAATTAATAACAAACTTTGATATATCACACTTCGTGTTTTCTTCGATGCTTCTATTAGTGAAATTTTTAGATACTTTCAAAGATTATTCCTTCTAGAATATAGTTTTCAATAGAAAGTCAACATTTTCACTTGTCCTTTGAAATGATTCAAGAATCATACACTACACACGTTCTTGAGAATATATTACAATGTAACATAAAAGTTTTTCATTTTTTCTCTGTTAACACTTCTACCAATTGACAAGATTTTGCCAGACATGGTCTCGTAGACAACGTTTAATAACTCCGCCATTTTGTAATTTTGACGAATACAAATCAAACTGAAATGTTTTCTAACGACAATCTCAATATTTCGCCGAATAGCTAAGTATGTATTTGAGATCCAAGAATCTCAATTTAATCTATCTTTTTAGACCTACAAGATGACACGTCTAAAAAAACCGTTGTTAATTTGACGATCGACTGTGACCGTTAAATCAAACGACGCAGCTGACCGTTGCGCTATGGAACGATCGCAAGATACATAAAAAAACGCGGGACAAAAAGCTACAGCGCAATACTGACCAAATAAATCAATAAACACTTGATATTTTCTCACTCACCTATCAGTCGTGTCCACAAAGAGGAAACCTTCTTCACGTATCCCTGACAGGCACACGCGACAGCGAGTGTCGCATCGACGAACGATTTAATCCCGAAATCGTCTCGATTAGTCGCGCGCGAAACCGCCAATTATCATCAAGGCGATCGCGACGTATCGTCTCGAACTAGTCCTGTGTTATACGATCGATTCACCGGACATCAGCGGAGTGACAGTTCTCACTTCGATACGGTACGATGCCACCGAGACAAAAGCTCGATAATTACCAGACCAGAGGATACGTCCGTTTTTGCGCGTTTCTGTATCATACAATTTTTTTTCCTGTCGCGTCACGACGATTTGTTTTCAATGCACGATACCGTTCACACCTTCAGGGGGTGCACTCAAACCCCACACTCACGCGTCGCGTCCCAACTAGAGACTAAAGCGCCTAGTTACTCTCCACCCGTATAAATGCCTCGCTGCAGCGTGAATGTAGTCGTAGGTTCGGGAGCTTGGAAGGGAATATTGTCGCTTTCTTCCGTTACGGGGCGCCATGGTGTTGCTTACGACTCTGGGAGAGAAACGATGGAAGAGTGGGAGACGTAGGTAAAGAAGATCTAAGAATTATAGAGTAATGTTATCGACCGTGAAAAACTGTAGATTTTAGTTGGTACTGATTTTGGTAGCTTATAATGTCAAATAGGCAAAATATAACCAGAAATGGAGATAAAATAAAAATTAAAAAGGTTGGTTTCGGTAAGTGCTTACTCGGACGAGGTATTTGTAAAGATATTGTTTATCCACAGTGGTTAAGTAGATATGTCAGATTTCTTTATAGCTTATGAGAGATAATTTTAACCCATTAAAAAGTTCATTCCAGTTTAAATTCACATTATTGAATTCATATTGCAACCATGAAAAGGTATTTAAAAAATTTGTTCACTACCTTTTTTGATTGATTCCTCGATATGTAGATATTTTAACAATCTTATAGGTATTAATTATAATTTAATATGCATTTTTGCAAAATTTTTTTAATAATATTGTGTAACTCTAATTAATTGATTTTAGTAAGAAATTTGTTACCAGTAATTATTAGTAAGTTACGTTAAAAGATATTTACTACTCTATAGGGAAAATTCATGTACCTAACATCTCAATCACTAATTAAGAGACAAAGTCCATGTGAAAACGTAATTATCAAGGCTACCGTAGCTTTGATGACTACTTTTTCGTGCGAACGACAGGTGCATCGAGTATATACGAAGTTACGTTATGGGGAATCGCTATGGAAACCCATAAAATGCTACAGTCGACCAATGGAAGTTGAACGAACCTTGATTCGTGTACTTTGACGTTAAATGTCAAGCTCAAAGGGTTGCTAAAACCAAGTTCTCGGTTCAATTAACGTCCATTTACGGATAATTAATTACGTCAATGAGCGCCAATAGCGGAAATAGTGTTAAAATGATGTACGATACATCGAAGAAGAAAGTGACTTCCGCTCAAAGAGATTTATATATCAGACCACTATTAAGGTTGAAACAACAAGAAGATATTCTTGATAAAGGACTTATTGGTGCGATTGAAAACATGAAAATAGACTCGAATTTGTTACGGGATATTATAAATGAACACAAGGAATTGTCATTGAAAAGGTATTTGGTCATATTTTACTTTAGCAAATTTTAATTAAGATTCGAATATTCCCATTCCTAAATAAAAGATAACTTTTCATAGTATAAGAGCAAAGGAAAAGTAATAGAAATTTAATGACTCTTAATATTTTGTGCATTAATATTAATTTACTATATGGCAGACGAGACTTTCTGAGCACTATGTACAAAAATATAAAAGATATTACTTCTGAATTGGATTCTGCGAAACACGTGACGAAAAATCCAGAAGATTTACAAACACTAGGTAAATATAAATATTTCGCAACCTTCCTACTATTATGTTTATAATAAACAATCTAGTTAGAAGATTAGTATCTTTTGTAATAATTTTATAGCTATAAGACCTTTATACATATTTTCATTTAGATGTGAACACGTACAAATCAAAATTGATCAAACTTTCGCAAAAAATGCAGGATTTCGAGAAATCTTGTCCTATTGAAACATTAATGGAGGAAGGAACTGCATTAAATACTGAAGTACATGAATTCGAATTTAATTTAGATAAATATGAAAAAGCACAGAAAAATAGGGCACGTTTATCGTTATTATGTAAAAGTAAAATTGAAAATAGACAACATAATACAGGATGCAAAGATATAGACGATTTTCATGCTCTGGTTGCAGTAACAGGTAACGGAATTATTTGTTGAACAATTATAAAATTAATTAAACTTTTTACATTCTTTAAATCATTTTTGGCCAAATCATAGTTTTCTATAATCATTATTTAAAAATTCCTTAAATTCAAGGGAACATGAAAAAATTATTATTGACACGCTTGACATCTTGTTTCAATATTATACTAAAGATTTTCTTCAGATATTAAATGTCCTTTTCTTGGTTAAAACGAAAATGGGACTGGAACATAAAAAGATTTGAATATCGCAGGAGTCACTTAAGACACTCAAAAAGCCATTTAAACACTGGAAAGATCATTACAAAATTTTCTAAATTTCTATAAATATGTAACAGGACACACAGAAAATTGGACCATGGAGGATCATCTGTTTTTCTTGAAAACGCGAAAAAGGTGTGAAAATATACCAGCTCTGGTTGCAGCGATCCAAAAAAAATGTCCAGATCTATCTACTGAAATTATAGTAAACCACGAGGCGTGGTACAAACAATACACAGATTTACGAGAAAAACAGAAGGCAGCTGTGAAAGAATGGCGTCAAAAGAGGGAATCAGAAAAAAAGAAAAATACCGACGAAATAGAGAAAGAAATCGGGAATCGTTACGAGGACGAAGATTTTCTAAATGAAATCCCCAGAGAGAAAGCAACATGTATTTTAAGAAAAACAAAATCGTCTACAACGGAAACCAGAAGTACCAACAGCAGTGCCAGTTCGACCGAAAGCAAGAAAAAGGAATTGATTAAAAAGTGGAAAATGGAAAAAGAAAATAAGCGTTTGATGGACGAAGAACAGGTAAAAATGCAAATGATATTGAAGAGGAAAATAGAGCAAAATAGGAGGAAGAAGCGTAAAGAAAAGATCCAGGAAGCTCTGGAACAATATAAAAAGAAGAAATCTTTGGAAAATATTTTAAGAGAAAAGGATGAACAATTTAAAGAAAAATGTACATACGATGTAACTTTGATCAAAGCATTTAGGTAAAGTTTATGCAGAATTTATAACAAATTCGAACATTAGAAACAGGACAAAAAGTTAATAGAAATTTAGTATATAAATCTGTATAAATAAAATTAAGTTAAACGAATAAGAGACAGAAATTATGTTTGCAGAGAGCAAGACAAAGAGTTTACTAAAAAAAGAAAAAATTTAATTCTACGTTCTAAGAAGCCAAACAAATGCGAATCGGTGAATATAAGAAGGATAGAGCTCGTAGAAGCAAGGAGCTATTCGACATTGTTTGATACTACAAAAGTTTGGAGAGAAAAATGCAGAGTGGAAGATTCGACAATGCGTTTTAACGAATTGCAATATATCAAGGACGTCCCAAAAATGTGAGTAATCGGATAAATTATTAAACTGTTTATTTATTTACATATGGATGGTATTACAGGTGTATCCGATGGAGGAACGAAGAATCGGAGGATCTAAAAATCTAACAAGAAATATATCGATTAAAAAATGTAAAAGACGTTAGTATAAACGATCGTGTTATCGTATGCCTAATTTATTGTATATACTCGTACAAGTTTTATCGTTTACGTGTAACTTGGTAACTAACGCGACTCAAAATACGTATAAATATACAATTTTGTCATTGGTAAACTTTACATCATCTTTTTATAACTTTTAAAACAACGTCCAGCAATAAATCATGCAATTTATGATAACCCGAATACAACTTAAAAGGTGTCTATCTTTTACTTAAGGAAAATACAATTATTTTCATTAACCCTTTCATGATCGATGTTGCGTTCCCACGAAGTTTAAATTTCTTCCATTGAATTCTAATTTCTTCTTTACAAATCAAATTTCAATTTCAATGCGTTAAGCCTTCTTTACAAAAGTATTAGAAAACAATGTGCGTTCCTAAGGAAATATTCGATCCTGAAAGGGTTAATCGATCAATTCTTATATGTACACATATTTAGGAAGAAAACAAATGTTTATGGCTAAAGAATATACGATATGTTTCCCATTACTCCTCCGCTAATTTAATATTATAATTTTTAATAAATTAATCAACCGAGCACACTTCTAGACCGGCGAATCTTCAGCGCAATTTCTGTATAATAATCTGCATAATAATCATACTTCAAGGTATTTACAATAATTGTACTTACTTCCTGTTCGAACTTCTCCCAAACTCCGGAATCACTTCATTAGAGCCGAACGAAATCTCGGTATCTGTTTTGTACTTCGTTTCCGAATCGGTATACTAAAAGTATATTCTCCTATAGTAACAGTCTTTCATAGGAAATGATCCACGAACACGGCGACTCCATGAACATAAGCAGTAACGAGGACAATCCCTCGTGATCGATCCGTCATCGACGAATCACTAATCAAAAAATTGTCATTTCTCTTGTTTTATTTACAATCGCTAAAATCTTCGAATTACAAATAGCCTGTGTGCTACTTGTCGGCAATCGGCCTCGAGGAAATTCGCGCGATCAAAAGCGACGCCGTAAGTGTCGACTATACAAATGGATCCGCTCTGAAAAATTATTTTAAAGTGTTGGACACATTCTGAAAACGCGACCTCAGCACAACACGACGCAACGTTACGAGTCGACGAGTATACATCTTTTTTTAGAAATTCTCTTTTTGATTTTGAATATTTTTCGAACTACGAAAAATAAAAACGCTATATCGGACGAGCGCGAGAATTGAAATAATGGAGGGCAAGAGGAAATGAACGAAATGAACGATTGATATATATTTAAGTTTATTTTTCTTTTACGAACGTACCGGTTTTTGTCAGACGATGTACATAATAAGTTATGAGTAAAAGAGTGTTGGCTTTATCCAGGACCGTCAATTTATTCGACTGCTCAGAACGAACTGTTAATAATTAATTAATCAATTAACTAATTAATTGATTAACCCTCTCCCCTCATCCAAACCTCACGTTACCTGAGCGATCGCGCGCGCGCGTGTGTGTGTATCTGTATGAAAGTATTGAACGTAGAAACAAACATACGTAGAAAGATCGGAAAGAACGAACGAAGAGAGACAAACTTAAACAAATATATAAGTGAGGACAAAAAAAATGATATCCCGCTTCCCTCTTCCGGTCAGTCGTGGATAATACCAATTCTCGACGATTTTACTCAAATATATAATATACTTTCTATTAACCTTCTGTTCGTTAATTCGATATTCTTTTTTGTAGATTTTTTTTTCTTCTTTCCTCTTCGTCTTTCATGAGATGACCAAATACAAAAACATAGGTGATACAATATATATACTATATATATATGTATAATGTTATAATACAAATGTGCCTCGTACTGTGCTGAGTACGATATATCAATCAAATTCGACGACTGTTCATAATTCATATTTTATCCTTCTGTTTGTTCACGTATTTTGTCTTCTTTCCTTTGTTCACATCCTCGTCTATCCCTTTCTCACAGATCATTACGAGATATGCTCATTATGATCATTATGATTCACAATCACGCCACCCCCCATTCACATCTTCGCTCTGTTACTAATTAGACGTCACGCTATAGCGATATCGAGAATTCCTCCGATTTTCTTTCTCCTCGAGCCGCGTATATATACACATATATGTCAGCATATATATGTGTGTATATATGCACAAAGAAATATAACTGTTTACAATTCGTCTCTCTTCAATAATTGTATACCGTTTCTCTAGAAGTTTGTTACAACGAACAATAGAACGTTTAATTGAACGCCTTCAACTTTCCACCTTGCTCATTCATACGATCATATTTCTCCGTTGTATTCGCCTACACAAACACACACACGCACACTGTATTCATCCTCACGTTCCCTTATTATCCTTCATAGCAACAAGCATTGTAGGACGATTGACGTTTTTCTTTCCCATTGTTCGCCATTTTCTTCCTCGTAACCCATCATCGTCTTTCTTTTTTCTTTTTTATAATAAATATGTACACACTTGAACATTTGTACAGGTCAAAGATCTTCGTCCCTACGATTAGTTTAGTCGTCTTGAACCTTCCATCTAACAATATTTGTCATCGATATCCTCACACGCAGCGCCTCACTCATTCTCTCTCTGTTCCAACTCTATATATCCTTTTTCTCTTGTGCAAACCATAGATGCAACAGGTGTGTGTGTTCAATTGCTTTTTTTTTCCTCTTCTCTCCTTCCATATCGCTTTTTCCTCTCTTCCTCCTTTCCTTTCGTGTCGATCGATCGAACAACCATGATCGATCGAAAAGTCCGCGACGCTAATTTCAACGAACGCACGACTCTCGTCCAGACGATCGAAAACTCTGCGTATCCCTTTCTTCGTTCAGGGACATCAAGAACAGCGTCGAATCACGACGTCCACGAGCTATTATCTTGTCAAGACTTCGACGCTCGATTAGCTTATTTCCGAGTTTCTTTTTTTCTAATTTCTAACATTGCACACGGTTCCGGGACGGCAAAGAATCGGACACGGAATCGATCGTCTTTCGGCGAGGAATCGCGTCGTTGAAAGGCACGGGCGAAGATGAAAGGGAACGCGATCGATGGGAGCGATTCGTGCAAGTGTATAGATTCCTCTTTTGAACAAACCTTTGAATTTTGGGTTTCTAAGGATTCGCGACGGTTTTCGAGAACGTTCGACTAATCTAAGAGCAAGAAATGCACGCGAATTTTTAACGTCTCTCATTTCTATGATTAAGGAAATTAATTTAGTACGTAAATGTAAGGTTTCATAAAACGAACGAAATTTTGTTAAACATTAAACGAAGAAAAGAAATGAATTTTTGACAAACAGGATTCGCGTACATTCCTTGTGAGCATAGTTGAGACTCTTAATAACTAATCGAATGAATTCCATACTCCTTTTACTGCCAGATTTATTGATGAGATATAGATGAAGGTACATCTGGGCCCCAATAAAGTGCTACTTTAAATCGAGATTAAAACGAAAGAAGCGTATGTCACCTAATAGATCATTCTGCTCGCGATCGTTCGCCAACGTTCCGCGGACTAACGTTTATCCGTTGAACAGCTAGCAATTTTCCGTTTTCTTATATTTCTTTTTCTCCCTGTATAAATGAACGACCAACTTGTAAATGCAACAATGATTGACAATGATCGTAAAATGGTAACGTTCTCGCAGTAGAAAGTAAAAATCTCTAATCTTTCTCTCTTTCCATCCATGTCTGTCGCAATCTTTCGATCGTTAACCAAGACTCGCGGCTCATGCAGCTAATCATCGATCAATCGACTCGTTTCCTTCGTGTACTTGCTTCGTAGGGACACAAACGTTTCAAGCTAGCGATCTAAAGGATATGGACAATGATATCGCATGTTGGTTCGCTTTCGATGAAGATTCGATCGGGTGTCGTGTGATTAATAACTTCTAAACGGCTCGCTAACCAGGTCATAGACCTGGAATATGCATATATGTATGTGAATGTATTGAATATAATATTCGACCATCCAGGACAACGAGATACCTTGAACTGTTCTGTTTCGATAATGTTTTTATGTCGATGATGGCTGATGGAATTACTATAAATGTATAAAAAAGACGAATTATACCGCGACACACCTGTCCGCGCTTCAATATCGCTAAAGATCACAGTTGCGCGGTCGATTTTCTAGAATTAGGGGCAATCGATGAGAATCGCCTTACGCTTACACGCCTTAGACTAACGCCGTTACTCTCGTTCCTGGACAGTCAAAATCGCATGTGCTGCTGCGATCCACGAAGAAAACGAATCGTCGAAGAGCTGCGTGACTCGTCGAGGATCTTAAGTTCCTCCCTCGATCGCGCGTTTTTACAGGTCTCCAATGTTCATTCTTCCCGGCTTCTTATCTCTCTTTGTTCTTTCATCTCATTCCACCCCCATCCCTATGAATAATTTCGTTCATTTCCCCGTCGAAAGTTACTAAATCCGTCCTTTTCCTTTTAATTCTTCATCATCCTTGTGTCCTCTTTCCTTTTACTTTTCATTCTGCACATTTTTTGTCTTCTGCTTTTATTTTGCTTACTTCTAAGCTTGTATAAAAACGATAGTTTTTTTTTTTTGTTTATTCAATTACACCAAAAGACGAGTTGTGTGCATAAAGCAAACTATATTGGGACAACATGAATTCTGAATAAATACTTAATATTACAACAAAATTTTAAGTATTCTTTCGTAATGTCATCACTATATAGTTTGTAAGAAAATAAGATACTTTACTTGAAATTTGTATGTACAGATATTACAAACAACACACTCTCGCTCGCTTCGCTCTCCCTCTCTCTCATAATGCATAGGCAATGTGTTTCTGTTTTCTTTAATTTTCTTTCTTTTTTCCTCTTTTAATCTTTTTTAACTAAACGCTTCTCTATAATACATTGCTGTGGAGTAAGCCTAAATAAATCCATTTTTCTATGCGATTCTTTCTTTCTCTTATGATTTTTTTGTTTCCCTTTGTTGTTGGCTTTTTCTCTCCCTCGCTGTTTTCCCGAGTTTTCTTTTGATTCGTATCTTTTTCTCTCTGTTATCTCTTTCTTCTTTTTCGAGATTTTGAAACAAAAATTTACAACACCAATTCTTTCAACGTCTTCTTGACAAGTTCCTTCATTAAAAAAAAAAATTCAAATCATCCCGAGTACTGGCCACTCTGTTTTTCTATCTCCGTGAAAAGAAAACTAAAATCTCGTATCAATCTTGGTGTTATTATTCAATATTATTTACAATAACAATTTTTAGTCGAATAATGCGTGATGTATTCCAAGAAAACGTTACAACTCGGGCTCCGTCTCTTTATTAAATTAGATACTTGGTTCGTGTTGTTTCACCATCGTTTTAGTTGATTCTATCAAAATCTATTTTTTAAATTACGATTACGCACATAAACAAATTTTACAATTTTCTTATGTTAATATTCATAGAGAAATTTCTTAAATTGTGGTGTTAACTGTAAACAAAATTCCTTTTTCTTAATTTTAAGTTAAGTTTCGAGAATTATAAATAAAAATTCTTCTTTTGTGGTTGCATTTTAGCTTTTGATGACAGTGGAAAGGAAAGGACGACAAAAAAGAAAGGAAAACGAAAGAAAGTTTTACGAGGAATTTTTCCATTTGAAACATGAGAATTGACGAAATCGACTCATGGCTGAACCAAGTTCCTCCCTCCAGCCACGTGATCGAAATATTTCGAACGGTTTAACACGGACCGAAAAAATCTTAATATCCACTGCATGCCCTAGCCAACAGATAATTTTAATAGATCGTCTCGAGATGATCGATCCTTAAAACCTCTCTTTCGTTTGAACTCTCTCAATCTCGTCCAATCAAACTATGTCGCAGAGAAAGATCGCATGCATTCCCGCAGAGCACCACCGTCCTCTGTACACATCAGCATCGTTTCTAATCCACATTTTGTATACTTATTGTTTAGTCTTGCTAAATGTTTTAGTCCATTTCCGTGATCGATGGGGCTACGTCGCGATTTCAGAGCGTCCGGCACTGGTATTTCCTATAACATCAGTGTCATATATATTTATATATATATATCTTATATTTTTTTTCTCTCCCTCTCTCTCTCTCTCTCTCTCTCTCTTTCTTTCTTTCTCTTCCTGTATTCGAATCCATACAAAAGAAAAACGCAAATACAAGAAAAAACAGAACGCCTACACTCACGGCCGACAGGAAAACGCACCAAGAAAAAACGCCGCACACACACCAGTACGCACATCAGCCACTTATTTTAGAGGTTCTCGTACGCAGTATGTAATATGTACACGTTGGACGCGGGAACACACCACCGCACTCACACTAAAAAGTCAGGATCACTGTAGTCTTCGTCACTCTCGCTGCTATCGGAAACTTTTCTCCTTTTTTTCTTTTTGTGTTTCTTCACCTTCTCGGATTTGTGCGTCCGATGTCTGCGGTGTTCCATCGTGCCCTCCTGGTGGTTTTCATACATCGTTAACTTGGACACATACAACACCATTATATGTGACGCTGATACGATGTTTATGCGACGCGTGGACCGGCGTGGAGACCGGAATGAGTCCACTGACGGTCATCAAGTTCACCGAATTGATCGGATGCTCGATGGACGAATTAGATTACCTCGTTTGTATCTTCTTCCGGTTCTTCCAAGTCGAACTTCAGCATTAACTGTTTGAAGTCCAAGTACTCTTTCACTAGCTTCCTCCTGCCATCGGAGTCGAGCTCAGCGCTACTCACTCCCTCCTTCAGTCTCTGCAGAGTGGCCTTTGGTTTGAACAGCAAATTGCTCTTACGGCTCACCGCCTTCTCGTACACCTTCGCTGCCTCTGTCGGCGAGTATTGGCCGATTTTTTGGTCAGAGAAGCCGTACAAGTCTTTCAAGTGCTGCCTTAGAGTGAGCAGCAACAAGAAGCCTTGGCTGGCGGTAATATAATCCCTCAGCAGCGTCGTGTCTTCTGGTAACCTTGCCAGCAGGCTCTCCTCGTCCTCTTCGTCATCCTCTTCATCTTCCAACACTGATAACAGCTGGTCTGGTCGCGGTTGCCCATCCGGTCCAATAGATGCATGGGCCTGATGTTGCTGGTGTTGATGATGGTGTTGCAGTTGAGATTGACTGCTGCCTTCTTTTGGTAACAGCGCCTCTTTAAATGATTGCACCAGATTTGTACCAGACATTGAGATGATAATATCAATGTGATGGATGATGAACAGAGGCTCGTCTTGTACTTGATATGTAAAATAAGCGAGATTGTCAGCCAAGTAGAGCATCTGCGATAAGCTTGTCTTTGCAGACTCGTCGAACTGCTTCAGGAAGGACAAGACGATAGCTCTCCTCTGTTGCTTCGTGTTCCTCAGGATGGTGTACAGAAAACCGTTTAGTGCACCAGGAAACTCGCCATCTTTTACTCGCATTCCTCTTACTGTGATATCGTTCTGCAGAATCTTCTGTAGTCGGTAGCTCAGCTTGATGCCTAATTGCGATTTCATATGAATGAAACCCGGATATTTCTTCTCGATGTCCTGAAGTTGCTTGTCTGCGCTGTGACTCACTGCCTTTTCGCAGTCTGTGCTCATGCAGATCAGGTAGGGAACTATTTGGACCGGATGAACTAGACCTTGAGCCAGAATCAACTGAATTACTTTAAGTGCTGCATGCCTAACGCTGATGTTCACGTGCAAAAACGATTCTAGGATCTCTTTCACGTATAACTGGATTACTGTGCTAGCCATCCCTGATGATACGTCCCCCATTTCTTTTAGGTTCTCTTGTTTGGACATCTTCGCCCATTCCATGTCCTGTTTAATCATCCTTTTGTCTTCCTCTTGTAGATAAACCTCAACATTATTCAGCACCTGAATCCTCATATGAACCAACGCGTTTTCTGATGTGAGCAGATGATGGTACAGTTCCTTTAACTCAGGAAGCAACATAAATTCGTAATGACGGATACATAAAGAACCAATAGCGGACAGAGTAAAATGTCGAATATCGTCATTGTCCAGATGCACGAAGTAATTTAATGTTTCGAATACCTGATCCTTTATATTTTCCGCTAATCCCTCGATCACTTCAGGGTCGGTAAAATTGAAATGTCTGAGCAACAAGCCAACGGTGAATAATGCTCTCCTGACAAAAGGCCGATACTTTAAAAGCATAGGATTTGTAGGGTCTTTCTCGTAAAAGGATTTGTACTCAGTCAGATGTCCGTAATATTTTTTAAAACAGTCTCGTATTAATTTAAAATTTCTGGTTACATTGTTCACTATTGAACCTAAACAAGAAAGACAGCTAGCCACGACAGATCTATCGTGTTGCAAAATCAGCTTCACCGAATCCTCTTCCAACTGTGCTAAAAAAGTCTCGCTAGGATGTTCCATGAGTGGCACGACTAACTCCAATGTGTGAGCTACGCTACTGATGATCTGATAATCGCCCTGCGTTTGACACTTCAAGCTCAAATAAGGCTGTAACGTGATCGCGTGATTGACTAGCAATTGCGGCCGTATCTTAGCAAATAGATACAAGGTTGTCAAACAAGCGACCAATCTTTGAGAGGATCCTTTTTTCTCAGACTTCTCAGACTCTTCCAGGTTCGTCTCTTCTAGTCGAAGAACGTTTTCAATCAAGCAATCAACGATTTGTTTGCACGCCGTCAATAATGCCTTTGTGGGCTCGGTTTTCATCTTTGTACTATCGTCTTTATCTTCCTTGGGCTTGAACAAGCTAACCAGCAGCTGTTCGAACCACTCCAAACCCATATCTTTACTAGCTGCCACAACATCCGTGATATTCATAACCTTCCTTAGCAATGACTCGGAATCTAACGTGGGACGTTCTCTGACCGGTGTGAACCACATATTTTGAAACACCTCCATTACCAATTTTCTAATACCTTCCTCGTCGTTCACTCGTCTGATCATCTTCACGCAGATCTCCGGGATCTTTGGGAAGTCAGGACACTCCATGCAGATATCCTTGAGAATCTTGATTACGCGCTTACGAACGCTAACGCCAGTATCAAGAATTCTAGCTGATAGCATGTCGTAGTATTTATCTATTAATTCGGGCCTACTTAGTACAAATTTTCCTACCAGATCGACGGCTGCCTCGCGCACTGACGTCGCATGGTCTAGAAACGAATGCTTTACGCCCAGCTGCATGTCCACTCGCGCCAAAACGCTTGGATCCGCTTCAACGATCATCGTCAGGCACTTCATCGCCTTTGTCCTGATCGCTATAGACGACTCTGTGAGCACGTGTAGGATCTGCTTCAGGTATCGATCGAAACTCTGCGAAAACGGCCTTTTCGAAGCGAGATACTGTGATATCAGTTCTGCTGAATTATAATCGATATAGGTCTGAAGAATATCCGGTTTTGTGCCAGTGCTATATGGCCTTATTCTACTTATAATGTACTTCTTTTTCTCTTCTATGATTCGGTATGTTTCTGAGTACTTTTGTTCGTTATTGTCGTTTTCGTCGGCATCAGGTTCATCTAATTCTGATTTTGATTCCTGATCACTCGTGTGGTGCTTGTGTTTCTTTTTCACTCTCTTCTTATGCATTTTCTTACTGGGACTGTTCTTTACCTGACCAACCCTGGATTTTTCTAACGCACAATCTCTATACCATTGTGCTAGATAGAAATGGCGGGCATAACCTAAGGCGGAGTCCTTGGTTCCGTTTACAGCCAAGTAGTCTAGCAGCACTTTCTGTAAAAAACCCGTCCGCTCTTCATCCTCACTCAAACCTACAATCTCTTTATCTTTCACCTGGTCATATTCGGAATCCTTTTGCTGTTCAATCTTGATGTCCTTTATGATCTGGTCAATAGTAGATAGCTTGCATTGAGAACTTACCGCGTCCTTCCTTAATCTGGCTGCGACAACGCCGAGGTAATCGATGGAGGCCACCCTGAGCGCCATATCTGAACTTTTATTAGAGAAATGACCCACCAACAAGTTTCCAAGTAAACTCAGAAGCAACTCAGCCGCTGGCCATTCCGGTTTGTTGACTGTGGCTAACAGATCTTGCACAAAATTCTCGAACAGTGGCCTGTAATCAATTTCCTCACCTTTGCTGCCGCATTTGTTCAGGAATACCGTTAAAAAATTCCCCGCTATTCTGGTAGCGGTTTCGTATTTGTTTATGATCAGGACATCTGCATCTACGTAATTTGCTTTTTTCTCTTCTTTCTTCTCTTCATCATCTTGTGACTTCTTATGTTGTGGGAGTACATTTTCGGGTAATACAACAACGCATTGAATCAGCTGTAAGACCAACGCTGTCAACATCTGTATATGATCTTCAGAATTTAACCTGTAAGTTCTTAGACTCCTTTTGCTGCTAGGAAGTCGAGCTATAGACGCCAAAATATCATCTAACAACAATCTCCTATGCTTCTCGTACTTAGTAAATATTATCGTGACCAATTTTAAAGCGCTCAATTGAAGATCACTAACCGATTCAACAAAAAATGGTGCGACACCTAATGTAGAGGCATGAAGGACACTAGTGTCTGTTAGAACCTGGATGTTTAATAGTTCAGCAAGAAGACCAACTAATTCGTGCATTTTGTTGTATACTTGAAGGATACTCTTCTCACGGACTTCTTTCATATGACCTCTTTTCTTACGACCACTAGAATTATAATTGTCAGTCTTGTTTTTTGTGTCTATTTTGTAAACCGGATCGAATGAAGGATAAATAGTATTCTGCAATTGAAACTTCATGAAAAGGACTATTCTGTCGATCACGTCTTCCAAGTAGACCATTTTTGGCATGTTGCTAGACGTCATGATGTGTAATGCAATTAAAGACGCATCCACGGCACGTTGTACTCTCTCCATGGCCAGCTGTGTCCATAATCGACTTTCATCAACATCGTCGTCCGGATCTGCCAACGGAGACACCTTGGCTCCATCCCGAATGTTTTTCTCTAAAATGTTTAACAGTCTAACCAATCTATCTGCTGGAATCGACTCCATTGCTCCTAATGCTTTCAATTTAGCTGCTTCTGTGCATAAATCGTGTAATTGGTATTTAGGAATTAATAATTCTGGAGGCACATCACCATCATCATCCAATTCGGCATTAGTCGCTACGTCTTCTGTGTTTTCAAATATCGTTTCTATGGTTGTGTTGAAACGTTGATACGTATTAGTTTCCATCAGCTCCTCTACGCTAAGTTTAGCCAATACAGGAACGAGTTTCTTTTCTACTTTGCGGATTTTTGGTTTCGTGGGTGTAAAAGCTTCTTTCTTCTCATCGTCGTCATCGTCATCTATTATCCTTTTTCGTCTGCGCGTTTTATCTTCGCTCTTCTTCCTCTCGGCTTTCTCCTTTTCCCTTTGAACCTGACGCTCTTTCGCGCGTGCTTTAAAATATTTATTATTTTTACCGATTTCTTCCTCGCTATCAGACTCAGACTTTACATCTTCACGATTAGAAATGCCCATCTTCGCGGCCCGACTTGGCGACTTCTCGGCAAACGCGGTTAGACTCTTCTGCATCAAAGCTTGATCTGCTAAGGATAGTCTGTCCAGCATGACAATCGGCTCTTTTAATTTCTCCGGTAAAGAAACGGGTATTTTCATCCCCTTTTCTGAATTGTTGTTCTGTTGGTGTTGTATTACTACTGGCGTCGTAGTGTTTAATGTATTTACCATGTCGGTGGTATCCATGGTTGGATAAGATGTGGTTTCCGTTGTAGATAACAGATGTTGCGTCACATTATCCATGCTCTGCTGTTTCGCTTCGATATTTTCTATTGGTATATCAATGTCAGGAAGACCTGTGACTGGATCGAGTAAAAACTGCTGATTTTCTTGCACTGTACTATCAATGTCCATTGGCTGATGATTTTCTAATGGATGATGTACTTGTTGATTCATCATAGGATCGTACATATTTTGCTGGATATTAATAGGTTGATGTTGTTGCAATGGTATATTAGCACGCATAGGAGATGCCATATGCATATTATGTTGAGGTGTCATACCAGCCATATTGTGGTGTTGAGGTGTTACATTACCAAGAGTTGTTAATGGCGTCCCAGGAGAACTCATATGTGCTGGAGAATACATATTTGGTTGCGGAGTCATGTTGGGTAGAGGGTTTATGCCGGTAGGCGGGGGTAGCACTGTTCTAGCAGCAGCAGGATGAGCTGGACTACCTTGAGGCGTTTGTCTCGACCCTGAAGAACTCGAGTAGGATGGTGAGAATCGATCGTAATTAGCAGATGTTTGATTGGTATGCATCATAGGTGTGCCTTGGGCCCAGTTTCGTGGTGAATTGTATTGAGGCCCCTTAAACACATGCGGATTTATTTGTAAAATTGCCTTAAGTAACTCCGGCGTATTTTGCTCGGTTTCCAAAGGCTGTTCTGCATTTGCATAATTATCTTTCAGTTCAATATGATCAGATGAGGTTTGAGATAAAGATAATATTAATTGCGGCACTAAGTTTTCATTACGAACACTTAGTAATATTTGTGCTTCCTCTGCCACTCTTGGATGAAATAAAAGGGACTTGTTAGTTAAAGTCTGAGGCAGCGGTGTTGGAAGGGGCATTTCAGGTAACAAGTCAGTAAGACTCGCAATACCAGCGAGAGTTGTGATTGGCACACTCGGTATAACCCCGTTCATCTTGAATTTGACTTGTTCTGGCATTACAGCCTGGACAAAAAATATTATTGAAATTAGGTCCAGTGTCCTTATATGTACCTTGAGGTTCATAGAATTATCCAACGTAACAAACACAGCACTGACATATTAGAAAATGTCTTATTCACAGTATATGGTAAATATAAATCAACAGAACATATCTAAATGCACTGTTTCCACGGATGCTTAAAGAAATCATTGTTAAAATCTTTACACTCGCATTTTCAAGGCATTCCGACATAAGAGATCTTTCACTGTTAAGAAGAATTATACCTAACGCTTATTAAAGAACACTAGCACTAAGGTATATATTGGGAACTTAACAAAGTCTCTTTTAAGTTCCCATGATGCAGTAGCAATTATCAACCAAATTTTGATGAAGCACGTGGATCCTCCAACAAACGGTCCATTGTTAGCAATAATTTTTTGTCCTGAAACAGACATGTAATAAATATAATGGCATTTAAATTATTAATTTGACATATTTTACGTATATAAATTAAATCTATATAAAAGAATAATATTTCAAAGCAATGAATAAATATAAATACTTTTATTATTATTTCAATTTTTTAAATATACAGTATGAAATGTACAAATAGGTATATTATTTTGATAAACAATAAGGTAAAATTAATCTACACTTATGTAACGTTAAATTAATGACATACTTTTATGAAAAAATATTAATTTCAGATAAATTTATTTTTTAGATCTATATTATATAAAATTAGTAAAAAATCAATTTAAGTGGAAAATAGGATATTAATACTTTATTATACATTTAAAAACATTAAATATTAACAAAAAATAAAAATCTCTCTATAAAGGTTAGACTAATTACAAATGATTTTCTGAAAGCTAAATAAAATAGAATTTAGAAAAGTTCTGGTTTAAATTTAAAAAATCATATTATATTCCTATTCTGCGTAACTTACAACAATATTTCATTCATATTAATTACAAAAATAATACTATGTTATAGCTCTATATATTTGTACATACATATATACATATATATGCATGCTATAATGTCATAACAAAAACGTAATCAAATTAATTAAATCATTTCCAAAATCAGTGCAATATTTTTCACAAATATCAGCATCACTAATGGATTAAATATAACACATTGAAATAAGTCTATATTAACTCCCAATTAAGATCAACGATCAAATGAAGAAATCGCTTCACACGAACAATGTCAAACGGAAGTGTCATAGTTTCTCAATACAAACCATCTTTCCTTCAATGATCCTGATCATTTGTCTCGTTGGAACAATTTTACAGAAAGTATTCATCTAACATAAAATGATTGATTCACTATCACCACATCAAGTTGTTATTATTACCTCCAGTTGTCGAGTATCTACCATCCAACATCATACATATGATAACATGGCCTTAACCAGGTTGCTACAGGCTGGAAATCCCCCAAGTGTGCTCAATTCCACTAAATAATAGAATTGCCATGGTCAGTGATGGTAACTGCGACGATCGTATGTCATTTGACGGATAAAAACAAACATCGGTGGAAGTTTTGTGTCAATTGCCTTACCTGGCTATCCAACAACGATTATTTATACTGCAGAATGCGAGTAGTGAATGGAATTTTGGCGGGAGGCGTATCGATATCCAAGATCCCAGTGTTGTTTGACGCGTGGAAATCGTCGGTATTTACACGTTTGCCAAAAACAACGACTCAGTTTGTGCGAGTCTATTCGAAAAAGTTTTCGTCGTGAAACGATATTCACTCAATTGTCATCCGTGGTTCTGGCCTATTTGGTTGGACGGGTTTTCTCGTCGATCACCAAGGAATGCACTTCGATTCGTGACGTGTCACGATTTTCACTTATGTTTCTCGCGGTACCGCGCAAACATCGCCATGTCAAAGAGGATCCATCGCAGTGAAAACACTATTTATAGTGTGAATACGAGGAAAACAGACACAAAGGCGTCCATTTTGCTCAGCAGCGAGTTAGCGGAAGTTGCGTAGTAGATACAGGCTAGATACAGGTATACCGGCGCTACGGCGTCTTATTTCGAATTACGATGCACCGTTCGCATGAAAGCGATGCTGTTAATCCGAATTTTCGAACTTTTATTACATATATATGTATCTTGCAACATCATTAAATATTCATTTATGTTATAATATAAGTTTTTTTGGTAGCTCCTGTTAGTTAGTAATAATTTTTACGCAAGGACAGCTATTTATCTTATAAATGTTACTATGAGATGATATATAATTCATATGAGAACAATTATTCATTTACTTTTATTGTTTTTAAAAAATTTAGTTATTAGTAATAAAACGTTCAAGAAAGTAAGTTTGGAATTTTTTTTATATATTAAGCGTATGTGAATGTTACGTGTCCGCCTTCATATGATACAGATGATGGTTGTGAATCTCTTCTAATATTTCCAGTACGAATTTTAAATATTATCAAGCGTTTGAAGTAATAAGTAATAGCACGTAATTCGAAATTTAAAAATTGTTTCACAGTTTCGTTTTATTCATATAAAAGTTCTATACAAAATGTAAGAAAATTATTTATGAAGTTTATCATTTATTTGAAAATCTGCGTAACAATACTGCACTGTTCACATAAAAGAGGTACAGTTTATCCAAATTTTGTAAATTCTATCAAATATATTTTATGCATAAAATATATACATATAATTATATTCCATTATATATTACCAGTTAAAATTTGTTTCGTTTTATCAAATAGTTGTCCAAAATACAGTTGGTAGAATCTGTCACACATTTTGAAGTACATTCAATACTGTATTCAATGACCTAGCAATAAAAGTGTTCGTAGGTGGCGTCACTAGGCCTTTTAATTATACAACTTTTTGATAATTAACATCTAAAAAGATATCTTTCAATTAAATATCGCTTTAATTAGCTGATTTAACATTGACATATATTAGCAGATTCAATCGTTCTTCTCGAACAACATATCTGAATGCTCTTAAATAATATCTAAGAATCGATTGTATAAACGATTAGTTATTCTTTTAATACTATAACGAATAAAAGTACATAAAAAGTAATGGAAAATTTTGGGATATTGACGCGCTTTTTAATCTAAAGGCTTGGATATAAAACAAAAAGGCTAATATTTATTAATTATTTACATATACATATGTATATACATATTTCGACGCAGAACGTTTTCACGAATTGGTCGGCAGATCGCGCTATGGTCGATGTAATTTCACTTCTCGTGGTTGAAGACTTGAGGAAAAATAAAATTCCGAGTAAAACTTCAAAATGGCGCGACTGCTGAGTGTAAACACCCAATTTTGATGTTAAGTAAAGTGAATTAATCGCGAAGTGTTCGCGTGAAAGTTCGATCGACTGTTACATCCTTTTTGTGTTTCACGGTGTAACGATCAAATTTTACCTGAATGTTCACTGTATCCACGATCGCCCATTCCATACCAGGTAAGTATCGAAATTGTTTGACATTGAAAGTATTTTCTCATTTCATCCAATTTAACCTACTCGCGAATATCTTATTAAAAAGTTTTTTAGAAAACTTATTTTCTCTTGTGAACAGTGTTTATATTGAAATTTTGGCAAATTCCGAGGAATTGTAAAGTGATGATGCCCAAACGAATTTTAGAACATCTTTCCCTAAGTGGGACGTTTTTCTATCATAAAATGCAAATTATTTTCTGTGTGATTTACCATGCTTAACATGCAAATCTGTTGCTCTAGTATAGTGCGAACGTCTATTTTCTTTAGTCTATCTTTAAGTAATGATTTTGGTGGCAGAGCACGTATGGAGCTATATGTATAGTTTTGATGCACAAAAATGAAACTTGGTTAGAAATGGGTGAAAGTTTCTGTAATTCTTTTAATCTGTCTTGATAGTAGCACTCATAGATACATTTATGTAAGTATTATAATTTGTAGACAGCGAATGTTTATATACATTCATATACTTGCAACTGTGGATAAATGCAACATTGGAAATCTATCTCATTCTTTATTACAGTTTATATATTTTTGTATATAATGTGCAGTCTGTAGATTCTTACATATATAAATTTTTCATAAATGCATATACATTCATAGTTCAATAAGCGTTGTTAAAATTTGAGCGATAAAATGCCAAAGAAGACAGTATACACATGTAGTAATATATATATTTATTTGAATGATATTACATTCGTAGTACTTTATCGAAGCAATTTATATATTATTTCATGTAAAATGAATACAAAAAATATTTATAGAATACCAATATCATGACAAGATCTTTACTATTTGTAGTTGTTTTAGGAAGTGACCCGAACAAGATGACGCAGAAGCGTTGTGCTGGCATGTCACATGTTGGGTAAGTCCTAACGAAATTATTATTTTTTTATTTACCAGAATTGCACTCATCAAATACTATTAGATACTATTCAAATTATCTTTCACATTGTTTAATTAGTTAAGTTTTATGTTGTCGTGTAATTTTTTATTCAAAATTATTTTTTCAATTTATTACAACTTAAATACATAATATTGCTAATTATTATTATCCAAATTAATTCTACATTTTTCAATTAATCAAGCACAAAGCTCTTGCCTAATTTTCATTCCCAATCTTGCTTACTTATCAAGCTTCTAGTAATCAAATGTCACTAATTATTCTTATTACTTTTATTGTCATTACTATATCATTACTGTGTTTTAAATTATCTTCTACATTTTTAATTAATCAAGTCTTCGTTTTTTATCAAACTTTAATTGTAAAAAAAATTAAAGAATGGTAAATAAAATTCTGGGATTCTTAAATATTGATTTATTCTAATTTAATCTAATTTTATTTGTATTAAAAATATTCTAGAATTTTTTATTTCTTAGAAAATATTTTGTAGAAAGGTTTTGTTAGTAATGTTTTATTTTTAACAAATAGTGTAATATTTTTGTCGACACACATCGTGAATTGAGGAAATTTTGAGTCATTCTCGATTAACACGATTCCAAGAAGTATTACAGTGGCGACAATGAGCCCGGCTACGATGTCTGGCACAATGGTAGGCGATTTTCTGGGTTGTCGATACCCGCTAATATTCGTTCGTACAAGCGGTTGCGACATCGCGCTAGAAACATTTCGTTATCGTAAGTGTTGCATACCTTTACCTCCGTTGTAAACGGTTCTCGAACGTTACAACGCCTTGAAATGGCTGTTTGAACTGGGCATTTGCACGTTAATCGTCTATAAACGATCAGCAGATAAGCTTCTTGTTCATTGAAGCGGTAAATTTCTTCAAAGATGAAAAAGATACTGTGAGTGATCATTAGAAACTGAGAATTTTATTAATACTAATGAAATTCAATATTGATTTTTTAATACAAATATTAATTGTTAATAATTTATTTTGTTTTATTAAAATTATATACAATTTTAAATAAGTTCTTCAAAATTCTTAAATTCTATTTATTGTAATTTATTCTAATTTAAGTCTGTAAAATTAAAAAAATTTCCCTTTCCTAGATTTCTTTCCTAAAACTTTAAGACTTTTCCTGAAATTCCAAAATTTTGATTTATCCTAATTTAATATAATATTATTTGAATTTAAAAAATTCTAGAATTTTAAAATACCTATATCTTCTTAGGTTTCTGCGATATGAAAGTAAGATTTCCCGATTTGTTGAAATGACATAGCAAATTAGTATTCCGTGATTAATTTTATATCCTAGAAATTAAAAAAAAAATAAAAATTAATTAGGAAGGCGTTATAGCCGTTTCAGCCGTATAATCGTTTTAACACAAAAAGAGTGCAAGCTGTAATTGTTTATGTTTATATAAAGTTTGTTATGTAGAGGATGGTTGGTCGTGTGGTTTAAATAACGAGATTACTCGATATTGAAACCGTCAAACATATTTTAAAATAATTAATAAATACAGAGAATGTTCGACTTTTTTTTACGGTTGTACGTAACGGCGATATTGTTTCGCCCGGATTTTATTTATTATTGTATTATGTATGTCCTAATGATGTTGATAATCCGAGGCAAAACAACAACATGATTCATATTGTCTTCTAGCTCATGTGTCGTTACAGTTATCTTTCTTGGGAGAAGGAAGTTATGCAAAGAAAAATAAAAATGTAATACCGCTTAAATCACAAATTACTTATAAAGAAAATCATACCGATATTATATAAATGTCTATTACATAAAATATACATTATCTGAAACGATAACTACAGCAATGATTCGATGTAATAACATACTTCCTTCGGTAGCTCTCATTAGCCTGTCTCCTTTTATTCTAATAATTCGTTTCATCTGTCTAATAAGTAACACAATAGGCAAACAAAGTTTCCTATTAGAATGTTGCTATCTGTCGTCTTGATGGAATTGGAAACTACAAATTTTCATTTCTTTTCATTTGGTTATCCAAGTTTCACTTGGTGGACAGGTCGATTGAGCGAAAAGATCAAGGAAATTCTTTCGAAAGAAAGTCACGAGCACTGCAAATCTTTCACAGAGGAGAGATACCCGCAGAACCTTTGAATCTTCTATAGTACTTCATGAGACAATCGTAGGAGTTCCAAGTCTGCAACATTACACAAAATTTCAAATCCTTTACAAATCAAAATGCGCTACAAAAGCACTGAATTACTTAATGAATCTTTCCAAGAGAATTAAAAAATAATGAGAAAAATTCACGAAAAAATCCTACAAAAGCTCCGAATCTCCTAGGAGAAGCTAAAATCAAAGAAGATACCAAAAATTTTACTTCCTCCGGAATAATCTTCAAAATCTTCTAAAAAAAAAGAGAGAGAGAGAAAGAAAGACAACACCAAAGAAATCTCCAAAGTTCCACCTTCTCCGCAAACAGCATCGTTCAAACTGTTCTCCATTGCGACTTCACACCGGCAGGAGCGATCCTGATCCTGGTCGTCCTCCTCGTGAGCATGTAGCGTGCGGAACGAGGACGATGCATCCCGGTTAAAAGTCATGCTTTACACAGTGGCTGTGTTCCGCGGCTCTCTGGT